TTGGAGGACTTCAGTGGGAAACCAGTGTGTTCTGCAGTCCCTGATTTGGCGCAGGATGTTTCAACTTGACAGCAGGTCACAGAAACCTTTGCAGTTTACCTCTGTTTGCCAGAAACTTTTCTTCCTGGGGTGCTTTATCCTGCCTATTGTAGCCTGATCTCTCACAGAGAAGCCCAGAGCAAAGCTGCAGAAACATCCAGCCGTATGTGGGTCTCAGGGCATGGTGTTACTGCTCTAAGATTTACCACAGAGCCTTCCCCAGGTTCATTCATTAGACAATAATTCTTCCCAGTCCCACCTCCATCCATGGCACTTCCAGGAGTGCAGCAAGACAGAGTAACTTATCTACTGTAGTGTAGTCAGAGTACCTATCTACTGCTCATGGCTAGACCAAAGGAGACCTTTGGAAAGAACTAGGTGGTGGGACTTGAACTGGCTAAACTAGCATGTCCATCCCCTCAAAGCAATTGCTGGTGCCCTACTGTTTTTCCCATCTTTCTTCCTCCAGACCACTGCCGAGTCAGAATCTGAGAGACTGCTGAAGGACTGGCAGGTCTGAGAGCATGGAGGGCTTCCAGGAGGGTGCTAAGTGTCTGTGTCTAGGTTGAGTTTCTCCTTCACTTGATATGGCAGCAGAAACAGAGTCAGCAAAATCAGGGTTGTCCACCAATTTTAGGGAGAATGTAGATCAAGCTGCATGACAGATGTTCTTTGTGGTTCTGGTGCAACTAGGCTTGACAGAAATCTGTAAACCATGGAAGCAACCCTAATCTTTCTAGTAACTGTGGTAACAAATACTAGAAGACCTGGATTTGTGTTCATGTTTCTGGCGCTTTTCATTCCCAGCCCAGAAAACAGCGCTGAACTCAGTGCTTCGTTCTTGTGCCTCAGCTCTTACAGGGATGCCCAGGTAGTCAGGTTGGTGGGCACTGTAGAGCTGTCCTGTGAGGCACCCTAATTTTGTGCATGTCCTTGGACAAGACTGGATGCCACCATATGGGCTACTCTATTCAGTTCTGCTCCTTTCACTCCAAGAGGGAGAGTGACAAACTACAGGAGCAACAGGAGCTATAGTGGTTGAATTATGGAAGATGACGATAAGAGCAAAATCTGTCTTTACAGTGTTGCAGTGAAGACTGAAGAGCAGGGGCAGCTGTGTGTGTAAATCTTAGGGTGAGAGGAGTTAATGGGGGTGGCTTCAGCCATGTGATTGAGGACAGAGGAATGTCATGGAGAGCAGAAGAACTTGGCCGGAACTTTAGGAAACTTGATGAGAAGGCCAGCCAGAAATTTCATCCCCCAAGCGAAGCGGAGACTTGGCCTGAGCATTTGATCGCACCTTGAACAAGAGATTTGCGGCCCCTAAGGCTCACCTACATCCCATTGACCACTTCCTCTGTAGTGACTCAGAGCCCCGTGTCATTCCTCTTCCCTTGCATAAGAACCACCACCCCTCAGCTCCACTTCTTATCCTGTCCAGAACATCTGGATCCATCATACTGTTTTCTCGCTGTCACTTCAGATTCCCCCTTCATTCGTTTGTGGGACCAGGGGATCTTGGTGCTGTCCTCTGAGAGTGACCCAAAACACCCAGTTCCTCCAGCCTCCCAAGTTCATCTTCAGGATGATGTTCAAGGCCTGCCAGTCTAATGCATCAGGAGCACACAGGAGAGTGAGGCCTGCCCTGTCCCCTGCCCAGGGGTAGTTGAGCCCCAAGAGTAAGTCCCATCTCTGATTACCCTCTGCCTCTGCTGAGGGCTTTTCCCCCTCCTGGCTTTTATTTGGCTCAGTTCCCCCTTCCTGCCCACTCTTCAAGACTGGAGGGGAATGGTTTGAACTTGGCACTGGCACTGTCCCCTTGCTCCCAGAGATACCATGCTCCTCTTGAGATGGTAGGGAATTAATCCTGAAAAAAAAAAAGAGAGAGAGAAAAAGAAAAAAAAAAAGGGGGGGGGGCATCAAGTGCCCTTCCATCGCACTGGGGCAAGGAACAAGACTCTCAGCCATATCCTGAGCCATAGGTGGGAGGGGTGAAGGAGAACCGGGAACTGTAGGAGATTCAAAGTCAAGATCAAAGCGTTTCCCTCTGAAGTCCTCACACTCTCCTTCCCTCCCACTTGCACATAAAAGGACTCTGCCCTCAGCAGGCTCTCTGCTCCGGAGGGTGGGTGGAGGAGGGGGCTGTTTTCCCCGCTTGCTTTTCCTGTGTTACTAATAACTATTCCCAGAGGTGAAATGGTGAAAATCCTTCCTCACTCCTCCTCCTCCATTCTTGCTTCTTTCTCGAATCCAGAGGACCTGGAGTCATTTTAATGACTGAGATTTCATGGCAGACCTGGCCTTTTTTGAGGTGTTACTGGGCGATGCCAGCGCGGGGGAGATGCAGCGAGCAAAGCCTTTGAAGTGTACAGTAGTAAGACACTGTTAGAGGCAAAGCAAAAGGAAGAAAGATTTGAAAGAAAGCAGAGCAGTTTGGCCCACAGGAGGGGAATGGCTAATTAAGGCACAGGGCATGCAGGAGGAAAAGGCAGAATCATTAAGATATCAAAGCAGGAATCCCTGGCGCGGC